CCGCCTCATCATCGGCACGAAACACAGCAGACAGCCTTTTGCTTCGCTTCCGGTCACGGCTCCCGTGCGGCCGAGGTGCCGCTGAACGGCGCGGCGGCCGTTGCCGTGTTTCCGCGTGCCACTGCCGGTGCCGCTCTCGGCTCCGGGGTTGTGCCTGCAGCTCCTCCTTGGATGTGTAGCCAAAGTTTGCCCCCGAAAATCTAGCGACTCCGGCAGCATGCCGTCGTTCCTCTCGTGCCATCTGTTGTCTGCTTCTTTGCAAGAAGCCAGCAGCATTTCCAAATCCGTAACAGATCGTTATGGACAGTGGAGACACTGCATATACATAGTTCTTCAAGTAAATGCATGAAGAGGAGAGGTGGGGGAGGACTCTGCTGCGCACCAGCAGTGACTGGCAGTGGGCCTGACCTTCAGAACATGAAAATGTACTTTCTCGACAACATGTGTGGAGTTTACTTAGGGGATCCAGAAACTTGTGTGCTAGCTGTAACTTTCTTTATCCTGATGAAAATGTTTATTATCATTACCTGCTCCTAATGCCAAATTTAGGAGCTCTAGAACAGGCTCTGTTCTAAAAGTCATATATGTTCTCTTTGAGAAAGTAGTATTGTTGTCTGTTATAATGCTTATCAATCTGCAACAGGTGACTAACAGATCTATGTATAGGGAATTTCTGACCTGAACTGTTGATAAAACTCCAATTTCTGTTTTCTTTTCACATCAGTGGCTGACATTCACAAACAGAAAGATCGATTCCTTAGTGCGCTGCAATGGCTTTCTTAACTACATGTTAGATTAACCGGTTTTAACGGAATATAAAGTGCTAGATTTTTCAGAAAATCATGGTTTTTTCAGTAATGAGTAAGGGGGAAATTAGGAAGGATAGTAGAAGTAGAAGGAAGCGTCTTGCTTCAGGGCATGGAGTGATTGCTGCCTGGGGCAGGGTCAGGAAGGAAAAATTTTCTCATGTATGATATTGCACAGCTAGCCATATGCATTACTGGGCAAGGGGAAAAGGCCGCAATGTGATGATACCTGTAGCATCAGCATTCATTTTCTTATCCCTGGAGACTCACTCTGCTCTCTGAAAACGTTAATAATGAAGCTTTTGACTGGATATTTGCATTGTAGGAAAGAACTGTTTAACTATCACCTAACCAGCTGCAGGATGACAGTGGAGCGTGCCTTTGGGAAACCGAAAGGTAGATGGCAGGTACAAACTAGAAGGCTTGCGGCAACTAAATAGTACCTGTCTGGAATAATAACTGTGTGCTGTGTTCTATACAACATCTGTGAAAGCAAGGCGGGGAGCTTTGCTGAGGCCCAGGAGGCAGAGGGCAGGGATACTTTTTGGATGGAGAATATGAGCAACTCGCAAGATGTTCCCCCCTAAATGGCAGTTGCTAGGATTTTGTATGTTTTGCAAGAAAGGATGCATGGTTTTGATACACTGCTGGGAATACTGGGACTGTGCAGTATGGTTTTGCACAGCATTACTTTATAAATCTCGGTAGAATAGTGCATCCAGTCAACTCTGCATATGTATTTGGGTGGGATTTCTCTGTGATCTGTCTGGAGTGATCTGTTACGCCTGCCATGTTTTATTAATTTTAAAGTTGGGTCATTTTTAGGTTACCATACCAGACAAGTGGGAATGTTTGGGCCTTTGAGGTCTCATTGTACACACATAGGTTCTCTTGGGCACATTTTGCACGCTTTTCTTCAAGCTTTCAGTTTAAGTTATATCACATCCTCACCAGTTCTTTAGCTGGTTTGTAACAGTGATGCCTTACTTCTGGCCTTTTGGTTCTTTTTTTTCCCATCTCTCTCTCCTCTCACTCTCTCTCTTGCTCTTGCTCTATTACAAGTGTTTGCAAAATGCCTTCGCTCTCAAGTTTTCCAGATCCTGGCAGCAAAGAGAAAGTGTAAGTACAAATGCTTTTAGTTGTGAAATGTAATCAGTTGTTGGCTGGTTTCCTTAGTAGCAAAAATGTGAAAAGCTACAGTACGAGACAGGAAGGCAGTCTCAAAGAGTTTTTTCATCAGTCTTGGGAGATCCTGGTACTGATAAGTCTTTTCCATCTTTCATTCAATGTTTTTGCAAGCTGATTTGTTACTACGCTACGTTTGAATAGCATGAAGAGGCTATACGAGATAAAGGGCCATGAGGTCAGGTATCTTAATAACTACGTGGTTCAGAGAAAGTTATGATGAGGTAAGGCCGATGTTTGACTTCTACAGGTGACTTCTGACTGCAGGTAATGTCCTGTAGTTTGTGTGAGGAAGCGACACCTTTTTTCAGCAAACGGAAGAAACTGTTGCTGGGGTGTGCTGGGGTGTCTGGCTTCCTGATATTTTGTGTGGCTGGAAAGGCATAGCTGCTCTTCAGGAATGACAGAAGAGGCAGTCCTGACTTGTATGTTAGAGCCCTCAGAGGCTACTTTCTGTAACTAGAATGTGATTTTGGATTCCATGCAGACATGCTCCAAGTTTCCTAAGCAGTTAATTCAGTGAATTTAAGGCAGTTGGAGAGGTAACAGTGTTTCTTCCTACTAATTTGCACTTTCAGTGTGCTATTTCCTTGTATTTTATATATGATGGCACTAGTTTTAAACAACATTGAATAAGGCTCTACTGCTACATAAAGCTTTTTAAGATTTTCACTGATATCAAAAAGCTTTTACAGGGCCTTACTTAAGGAAAACAAGCCACAATGAGTTTTTAACTGAAGAGAAAATGCCTTGCTAAGATTTGTCAAGATATCAAACTTGCACTGGTTTCGTGATTTATTTCCTTGCATGATCAAAATGCAGTGTGTACTTTGTAATGAGACCATGCAATGCTTGTTTTTCAATAAACTATCTTTTCTATTAGCAATTCAGTTTTTATGCAGCATGGTCAGGAATAGAGCAGTTTTGCTCTGTTTGCTGTAATAGGGCAATATGGCAGTTCTGAGGTGCTCAGAATTGGGAAAATCTTTCAATAAAGTCTGTCAAAATTTGGCACACAATGGGTGTGAAGGAAGTGGCATGCCTGGGGAAGAAAAGGATATGTATAGGG